ATATATTATATATATATGTATATATACAGGGTGATCAAAAAAAAAACTTTACAACTTGCTTTCTAAATATCTTCCCCCATACTAAAGTTTTGCGTTTCAGATTTGAACATGGCGTTTGGAAGCCAAAAGGAATTTGTCTGATATGTATTCTAGATAAGTCTATTGAATGGTTTTGCTCTATATAGCACATTGAAAAAACACCCCATTTTCAACCTTGTCGCCATTTTCATAGCATGACGCACCAGTTCGCATTAGGCCTACCAAAGTTGCAAAAATCACGCCATATTGCAAGCTACAGCAGTCTAACAAGTCAACAGAAATCTGCAGATATTATTTTTCCCAAATTGTGTTTGCCTGCTTAGATCATAGTAACGTTTAGTAAAGAGCACAGAGCTTTTTGTATTGAACATTACCTCTCCACAAACTCACCATCCCTGACATTTCGTAAATCTGCGCACAGCATGGAGAGAATGTTTAGGTGCCCTCAAGACCTTTGGCGTCATGAGTGGAGAAGTTCTGTCAGTTTGGATCTGTAATGAATCAGAATTAAGAAGTTCTTTTTAAAAAAAGGACCACTTCAGGTCGAACACGCACCATGCGCAGTCCTTTAAACGTCACCAGAGTGCAGATTTCAGTAGCCGAGTCCCATGAGACGTCTGTCCATGGATGATCTGCGGCTAGGACTTTCCTACTTATCAACAGCTTGCATTCTCAGATCTTAACCTACGACTATACCATGTTCATCTTCGCTAGGCTGAGATGACATGGATCAGAGCATGGCAATGTGTTCATGCTTCCTCGATTGTCTTGTAAAGAGGGATCATTTCCTCTATTTTTGGTCTAGTGCAAAGCCCATTTCCACGCTGCGGGACATGTTAATTCCAAACATGCTGTCTCTTGGGCACCCCATTCTATGGTCTCTAGAAACCACTCCTTAGTGAACATGTACAGTGCATGTGGCTTTAAAAACTCATGGTTTAGCAGGTCCTTGTGTTAGGGCGCCACTGAACATTTCGAACGACACGTTGAAAATGTGTCGAGTCCAAAGGAGGGAATGGGGAGCACTGCATCTGGGAATTTCAGAACGAAATCGTTAGGTTTTTAAAACTCTGTTAAAGAAATTAAATATTGTTTAAATGTCACAGGGATGGAAAATTAATGTCAGAGAGAAAATAAAGAGAAATGTCAACTAATCTTTTCACAACTTCCTTTTCAAGATTTTTAAACATTGGTGAACTTTGCGTTTTTTGGGTGCTTTTTTCTTTTATCTGTTTCCGTTTTCAAAACATGTTTCTTCTTCGTGGATTTTACATCAAACAAATTCCTTTTGAATGAAATATGTCTGTTCCAAATTACAGCATTCTAGAACAATTTTTGCGCGAGATATTCGGACAAAAAGTTATAAAGTTTTTTTGGATCACCTTGTATAACATATAATATAGTAGGCCTATATACATTCACGAGCACAGGCATGCAAGCATACATGTACTATAGTATGGTGAAGATTGAGCTTGTTAGAAGTTATTTCAACATGATTTTGTACAGGGGGGGGGGGATATAACTTTTTTAATAGTAGGCTACGTATTACATGTAATATTTTTAACTTTGTTTCTTTTATGTCTTGCTAACTCTCCTGATCACACTCTTCTCAGGATACGCTGGAAGACATGCAAGACGAAATTTCCTTTCTTAGAGATGAACTTGGCACTTTAAACACAAAGATGGACATTCTGCTGCAGGAAGTGTACGGACACAAGGTGTCAACAAATATAAGCGAGCCCAAATGGCCACCTCTGAGTTTAGTGAATGTCAGTAAACAAGAAACAGACGAAGGTATCAAAACTACAGTGTTTTACCAGACCTTTAGCACCTGTGATGACATCACTGTTTCCTGGGTAAACTACAGGACACACCAGCATGAATACCTGAAGGAACAAGGGCGCTCATGCTCAGGGGAAACCCCAAGCATTGGGTCAACTTCTGTGGTCACAGATGCTCTTGGGAACGAACCACAACTTAATGTTGCGACCAACAATGGCTTGTATGGACACAGCTTTTATTTAAATCGGAATATTACAAGTAACTACACTATAGAGAAAATATCAGCGGATGAATTTTTTGTTGAGGAAGCTAACAAAACTGTGACATACCATGAAGGAGAACCAGTGGTCCTGAACGTTTTATACAGAAGCCCCAGCACAGCTGGACCGCCAAAATTTAGCCTAAGAATTCAAATTGAAACGATTAGCAAAACAGGCGGGAATGCTGTTTTTCTAACCGATGGATGCTCTATCAATCCATACAATGATGACAGTAAGGCGTGTAGACTTAGACGGCTACAAAAGACAAAATCTTATTTTCGATTCCAGATTCACATTGACACAACTCTTGTGAAACCAGTCGGGTATACAACAATCAGAACTGATCCAACGTACGGAGCAGGTCAGTTTTCCACCAGTTCTTATCAAATTCTTGGAATTCATGAAGGCACACAGGCAGACCTCTATCCCGACAATTTCGTGCATCTTTCCGTTAACTTTGACATCTGCACATTTCGTAAATCGTGCTACTTCGAGTGCCAGGCGCGGGGACAATATGTAGAGACTCTGAAACTTTCAGAAATAAATAAGAATGGAACACAGGAGATATTGGCTCCGGAATTCATAAATAAGAGGCCGTATTTCTCGAAGGGAATTTGGCTCCTAAGAACCCCTGCAGAGGCTGGCTCAGAAAAGCACATGATATGCTCGGTGACATACCCCAACGGTACGAACGTCAGTAGAAACTACACAGTAGTGTTCAATCAACCTCCGTCTATCGTTCGAAATATGTCGTCCTTCACTGTTGACTTCGACGCAAAAATGGCAACGATAACGTGCGCAGCGACAGGAACGCCTATGCCGTTCATGAGAGGAAAGCTAGAATTATATGAATCAGAGAATCAAGAAACTGCGTCAGAAATTTATCCGATCTATCTCTATGACTACGGCGACAACTTGCGACAAGTGAATGGCACATTTATACATCGCTTTTCGTTCAGTTTCCCGTACGATGGGACGTATTACAAGCTCGTCTCTGTAACATGTTCGGCGTATTCTGAACGTGGCAACTTTGAAGACCACGCGCGCTTAGAAACTTACAATTTAGTTACTCATACAAAAATCAACGATGCGATCTACGAGGACTAGGTTTGTCTACTTTCGAAAGTTCCATTCCGATCACCAATATGTTGAAAGGTCAGAAAGTGGTAATTAATC